CTCCCCCCCCCCCCGCTTTGCTCAGGTACACCTGCCGGGGTCTCTTTGAGCGACACAAGCTGCTCTTCAGCTTCCAGATGTGCGCCAAAATCCTGGAAGTGTCTGGCACCCTCAAGATGGACGAGTACAACTTCTTCCTGCGCGGGGGAGTGGTCAGTGCTGGAGGAGGGCTGGGTGCAGTCCTGGGCTTGCGGGACGATACATCCCGAGGAAGGGCCGGGAGTGGCTTCTGGTTTTTTTGTGGGGGGGCTACCTGATCTCCTTCAGTGGCTGAGGTTTTCCTCCTGCTTGTTTTGTGGATTCGGCTCGGCCAGGGAGCCCCCAGGTGCCTCTTCCGATTCCAGCCTTCCCCCTTACGCCTTGGGCCGCAGGAGCCTGCTTTTATTTGCTGCTCAGTGAAAGGGGCTTGATCCCTACGGGGCCGATCGGGTGCTGGCTCCGGGCCTCCCGCCTCGGAGCTCAGGCACTTTTTGCCCAGGGGAGGGTGGGTCAGAAGGGGGCCATCTTGGGATGCAAGAACTGGGAGATGCTCCCAGTGCCTGAATGCAATCCGAAGAGGGCTTGGAGGTTGGCCCAGCCCCCTTCCCCCTTCCTGCATTCACGTGGCCAGGCCATGTTCAGGAACCCTCTGGGCCGCCTCAGAGTTTGCCCAGGTGCTCCTCGCTTAGCCACTGGGTCTCCTGGGAAGACCACCTCTTCCTGGAGGAAGCCTTTCCCCCCGGGGGAGAGGCAGGGCCCCCGGCTCTGGCACTGCTGTTTGAGGCTTTGGGCAGTTTCTCAGTTTCACTTCACCCAGAGGAGAAGCCCCTGCCCCAAAGGCATCATTCCCCTGCTTGTCCCTGCGGCAGGTGCTGGACCGGGAAGGGCAGATGGACAACCCTTGCACCAGCTGGCTGTCCGATATCTACTGGGACAACATCACCGAGTTGGACAAGCTCACCAACTTCCATGGCATCATGAACTCCTTTGAACAGTATCCCAGGGACTGGAACCTTTGGTACACCAGCTCCAAGCCGGAGAAGGCCATGCTGCCAGGTTCGGCACCAGGCTGAGCTCTTCCAGAGCCCACTCCCAGCTTCCTTTCCCCTCCTGCGACACGCACCCACTTTGGGCAGAGAAGCGGGACCGGTTCAGCCTCTGCTCCGTTCAGCCCAAGTGGGGAAGGGCTCTGCGGTCCGTGAGAGGATCCGGGATCTGGAGTCCCTCCTGTGGCCAGTCAAAGCCGCCCCCCCGGGCTGGTGGGGCCCCCGGCTCTCCTCCAGCCCCAGCCAGGCCGACCGCCTCTCCCACCCCTTGTCCCCCTCCAGGCGAGTGGGAAAACTCCTGCAACCAGATGCAGCGCATGCTCGTCGTCCGGTCTCTGCGCCCGGACCGGGTGGCCTTCTGCGTTACGGCATTCATCGTCTCCAACCTGGGCTCCCAATTTATCGAGCCCCCGGTGCTCCACATGAAGTCGGTGAGCGAGCGATACCTGGCATGCCAGGGGGCCAGGCGGCTCCCCCAGCGCCCTTCTTGCGGCGGGTGCCCCCTTCTCAACTGGACTCGGTGGGAGAGTTGGCCCCCAGCATTCACCCCCATGGCAGAGGGGCCGTCCGCAGCCCGTGCCCCTCTTGCTTCTGCCAGGGCCCGCTGGGTGGGCAGGGGGGCAGCTGCATTTCCCACCCACCCCCGCCTTTTCCTCTCCTCCTTTCCGCTTGCAGGTGGTGGACGACTCCACCACGAAGACCCCCCTGATCTTTGTGCTGTCTCCAGGCGTCGACCCCACCTCCTCCCTGCTTCAGCTGGCCGAGCAATCCGGCATGGCTCAGCGTTTCCATGCCCTCTCCTTGGGTCAGGGTCAGGCGCCCATCGCCACACGCATGATTAAAGACGGGGTCCACCAGGGTGAGTGCCAAGCCCTTGCACCTCCCTCACCTGGAGGGACGCCCCCATCTTCATCGCCCCGTTCTCCCCCGGGGCTTCCCTGGTGAGTCTTCTCGGGGCTTCACCTCCGCAGGTAACTGGGTCTTCCTGGCCAACTGCCACCTGTCTCTTTCCTGGATGCCTCAGCTGGACAAGCTGGTGGAGCAGCTGCAGGTCGAAGAACCACACCCCTCCTTCCGCCTGTGGCTCAGCTCCAGCCCCCATCCCGACTTCCCCATCTCTATCCTGCAGGCTGGCATCAAGATGACAACGGAGCCTCCCACAGTAAGGATGGGGAGCCTGGCAGCTGCCAAGGCATTTGGGAAGGGGCTGAGTCTCTCCCAAAGGAGTCCCGACTTTGCCCACCTCTGCAAGTAACGCCTTGCGGTTCTGCCTTCCCTCAGTCTGAACGGCCAGTTTCCCACCCTCTTCCTTCTTGGTGGGAAAGGTCAAGGGGGGGCAGTTTTCTGTGAAGCAGAGGGCGAGGGTCTCCCCCTCTGCACAAACATGCAGCCTGAGAAAGAGTCGATGGGAGGTTTGCCGGGGCCCTGAAGCAGTGATAAGCCCAGAGGGCCGGCTGCTCTTTCTCCAGCACTGGGGAAGAGGGCTGGGGAGCCAAGCCAAACGGCTCTTTGTCCAGAAGAACGGCCGCCGGTTGTCCATCCAAGGAGGTCATGCTTGGACAACCTAGAACAGCGTTTCTCAACCGTGGCCCCTTTAAGACTAGTGGGATTCTAAACCCCAAAATCCTCCCCACCAACACACCTGTCGGGGGAGAATTGGAGGGGTGGGGACTCCACACTTAAAAAAATCAA